GGTCTGGGAGAGTAAGATGTGGGGAGGTGAGTGATACCACTCACCACCTACAACAAGTGGTTTTGACAGAGAATCGCCATGAAGTACACCTAACTGGGTGTACCAACATGGCGTCACGGACTGCACCACATGTGCAGTGAGGGGGGACCTTATCTGTGGCACAAAACTTTAATGTTTGGGGTTTTTATTGTGAGTTAAAAAATATTTGAACACCGAGTGGTTAATAAAACCCTTTGCGATATTTCTACAGTGCTCAGCAATGCTAATTTTAAGGCATCTATTAGTCATGCCAACATATTGCAGTTTGCAGGGACATTCTAATAAATAAAAACCATCCTTTGAGTGGCAGGTGATAAAACTTTGTTTATGTTAGATAGCTGAGGAGAGTATTTGGATTTAAATGTTAAGGTTTTTTGCATTTTCATTATTAGTGCTTCTGCATGCTAAGCAGCTTTTTGTTGGCTAAAATAAAAAAATGTTTTAGAGTTAACATTCTTTATATAGTTGTTGGTGAGGCACATTTTGAGGTTAGGGGCTCCTCTAAATTTAGGGTGTATAGGGTAAAATGTTTTTTAAAATCTCATCTTCCTAGGATATTCCAATGTTTAATCATTTTCACACTTGATGCTATTCTTCTTTTTAGGGTTATGATATTGCAGCAATTGGTTTCTATCTAACTGATTTGTTTCTATAATTAGAGTGTCAATTTCCTGTTTTTTTTCTTTAGGTTTTTCATTAAGGTCTCAAGCTTGTTGTGTAAATACTTGCAATTTTGTTTTAGTCTAATAAGACTAAATAAAAGAGTCCTCACAGTCAGCCATAAAGAGATTAGCATAACTTGACGCTACCCTAGTACCCGTGGCAGTGCATTGGGGTTGTAGATAAAAAAAATCATAAAACCAAAAGTAATTATTTCTTAGAATGATGTCCAGGCCCTCTAAAATAAAATCAATAAGAGCCGTGGGGGTGCAACCATCTTTTTCAAGAACTTGTTTGATGGCGGCACATCCCAGATCATGAGGAAAAATCTTATAGAAGGACTGGACATCACTTGTGGCTAAAATGGGGTTTTCTATATAATTTTTTTTTACATTTTTAAGAGATTCATACTATCGTTTAAGTGTGATATTTAAAACATTGGGTTGAAGGCAAGTATGAAGGTATTTGGATATGTTGGATAGGATAGAGATAATGCCTGATACTATAGGGCGGCTAAGAGTTTTTAGTTCTTTTGAATTTTTGGTTAAAAAAAATAACAGGTCTCTGGTTACCATTCTTTCGAAGGTTTCTAAACTACTGGTTTAGTGATTTGAGGGGTAGAAGGTAGAGTTAGGTTTTAACTTAGTATATTTGGTACATGTGGTGTTGGGGGGGGTGGCAGCAGGGGTCATTGTTAGTATTTTGGTTAGTTTGACTCATGTAGAACCTTTTTAAGGTGGCTTTTCTGACAAACTTGTTGATGCCAATAAAAGCAAAATATAAAAAAAAAAGTAGGGGAATATTTTAACCCTTTGCTTAAAATTGCTAGTTCTGTAGCATTTAATTCTTTATTGGATAGATTGAAGATCCCAGATCCCTGAATTGATTTTGGATTGTCTGTGTTTTTGTTATTCTCTCTTTCCTTTTTTTGTACCCTTCTCCCACTTCTTCTTCCCCTGGTGTGAGGCTTCTCTTTCTTCTTTTGTCTTATGTATTTTTTGAAAGGATATGTACGTGATGATGAGTATTGGTTATGGTGATATTGGTGATAGTACATTGTTCTTGTTGGGCTTCTGCCTCTGTTTGGGGAGTTGGATAGTGCTTCTCTTTTGGCATGATATGTGTGTACTTGTTGTTTCATATAATTTTGCTTGTCTGTAATATATTTTATGATTTTTTTATATGTTTTGTGCCAGTCTCTACCTTTTCTATCTTACTTTGTATCAGGACAGAGTTTTGTTTGTACTTTGTCTACCCCTACTTGAATGTAAGAACACCCCTGCATTTCCTTTCCTATCTACAACATCTCCAGAATAAAGAGACTCTGAGTTGGGAAGTTCAAGCTGCCACACGCATAAGAAACAAGCGCCAGAAATCCTATCTTTTTATCTATCCTATCTATTTGCATTTCAGACTGATCCCATACATAAGGGCAGTCTAGAACTGAAATGCCGGCAAGGTCTCTCTGCCCGAGAAATACGGCTACACCGGATGTTCAGGCCTCAGAGAGATGTAGCTGATACCTCACTAGGCACAGTGAGTACAGGGTCCATGTCTGGATTACCCTTTTATCTTAGGAAGAGCCTAAGCAAATGCACTGCAGCAACAACAGAGTATATGATAGCTCTTAGAATAGGCAAAAGCTTAGAGAAACTCAGCAGCTCGCCCTTTGGCTATTGCCCGCTCAGGTCTAAAATAAAGTTTAATTAAAGCTAAACTGGTACTTTCCATGATATATATATATATATATATATATATATATATATATATATATATATTGTGTTTATTTGTTTTTCTAACTTTCAGGTGTTATAAGCTCTGTCCTTTACACCTGATGATCAGCATAAAGGATACAGAAAAGAGAAAAAATTAAAAAATGTTTCATTTGCTACTTGTTGATGATGTGTGCCCTGGCTTTGACAAAATATTAAAATTAAATTATTTCATTTATAAGAAAGCAAATACAAAATCATGAAAAAGCTACACATTTTTCATGTTAATTTCCTTGTGGGAAAATTCCTCTTTAAAAAAAGTTCCATGCTTGTGACAAAAATCTGTATTCAACATCCCCCCTCCCATAACCATGGTAAGAATATTGCTTAAACAGTAACACAACACACCATTTTTGTATGTATATATATTTATTTATATATAGACACGGGGAAAAGAAAGTGCATCCTCTTTGAATTCTATGTTTTTACATATCAGGACATAATAACAATCATCTGTTCCTTAGCAGGTTTAAAAAGTAGGTAAATACAACCTCAGATGAACAACAACATGTGACATATTACACATGTCATGATTTGTTTAAAAAAAAATAAAGCCAAAATGGAGACTATTTTGTGAATACTGTACATAAAATATTAACAACAAAAGTAAGAAATGAAAGCAGAAAGCATAAGTGATGTCCTTATATCAGTCAGTGTTAAGGAACACTCTGGGCATAATCACAGCTTCATCTCAATGAAGTTGTTATGCTGCCTGGAGTTCCTGAACACCTTCTTACCTTCAGGGGTTAAACCACTTACCCATTGAGAAAAATTCACGAGAAAGGTATGTACTTTCTTCTTTTGAAGCCTGTGACAGGCTAAGTGCATCAGCTGACGCTCTCAGCATATTCCGAGGCTTCCACATTGAAGATAGGGACAGAAGAGGAGAAAGAAGATCAAGCATATAGGAACTGTGTGGGCCTCTTTCAGCTTAAACATAAACTGTTTGCAAATGGTTTAACCCCCTAGTCTAGATGTCTAGATTCCATAACTACTTTCATTTCTCTAAGAGATATCTTATTTTTCATATATATAGTGGAACCTCGAAATTCAAACTTAATCCATTCGCAAAGACTGTTTGAGATCCGATTTGTTCACAAACTGAATCAAAACTACCATAAGAATTAATGTAAATTAGATTAATATGTTCCAGGCCCCTCAAAATTACAGAATTTCAACATAAATTTTACAGTTTAATAATACCTTACATACATAAAATGCTGCTTCTCTGTTAACTCTTTCAGCCATCACCTCCAAACTTCCCCTGCTACCTTTTGTCTCAAATCCCCCTGGTATCCTTTAGATTGTAAGCTCAAGGGCCATCTAGCTAAGCACTTTGTATAAAAGAGCTCCAATGGCTAGATATCAGCTTACGGGCAGGGCTCTCTTACCTCTTGTATTTGTTTGTGTTTATTGTACGTTTCTCAACTAATTGTACAGCGCTGCGGAATCTGTGTGCGCTTTATAAATTGCAATAATAAATAAATAAATAAATAAAATCATACAGAAAAACAACAAACAAAATACTAATGAAATTACAATTTAACTTCACTCTGTCAATTCTTTTTGCTGATAGAATGGAGCTGTTTTCTGACAGAATGGAGCTCTGTTCTCTTTGTCTAGCACTTATTGATGCGTCATACGAATGAGGTACCAACAAGGATAATGCCACGTGATTTGTTCGTGTACGGAAACATTTTTTTCTCAAATTTTATGTTTGACTTCTGAATTGTTCGGATAAGGGAGCATTTCAGTTCCAAGGTTTCACTGTATATTTATATATATACATGTTTTGGTTTTTTGTTGTATGCGTTTGGCTTTGGTTAATATATATATTGGCTTTGGTTAATGTATATATTTTGTGTGTTTGGCTTTGGTTAATATATATACATATATACAAAAATACTAATTAATAAGAATAACGATGGGCATTAAACAGTGAAAGATTACATTTTCCATAAGTTTTTATGATCTTGAAAGTAAAATATGAAATTATAGTTAAAATACATGACTGATTCACTATAAAACAATAAAAACAGTTTTATGTTCTTTCTTTTGTTCTTTTAAAAAAAGATAAATAAAAATAAAAAGCTCATATAAAATATCTTGCAAATTTGTAAGTAAAACAAATACCGGAAGCTATTTCTTTTTATGAAGGTTACTGTCTCAGTTTATAGTTTACAACGAGTCTTTAAAAAAAGTCAACGGATAATTCTAGCCTAAACTAGTAAAATAGGTGACTTTCCCTAATCAATGTTGTTTAATGGCATAAATAATGCAGCTGAGTGCTGACGCAAGATCCACCTCTAAGACTCCTACTGGTTCCTTATAAGTGGGTCCAGTGAACAGAATGCCAAAGACCCACTTGCCTACTGATGCTGTACAGCTGTCGATTCTCTCTGACAAAGTGTACAGGGACGTGCTGGGGAGGCAGAAGGAACTCTCCATCATTGATCAGTCTTTTTTAATTGAACTGAAGGAACATTTGTTTTTTTTTCACCTTTACACACACTTTATTTCTCTTAATATCCAGGCTTTCTGTTCTCCAGAATTACAAATGACGTACCTTTCAATCTGTCATCGACCAGACAAACTAACTATATAAAAGGAAAAAAAATCCACATTGTTCAGAAGAGGTAGTCTAGCACACTGGTTCTTTCATTCTTCAATTGTAACTGAACAAGACAAATATAAAGGAAGAGGTGAGTTTATTGACTGCAAGTATCTTTTGATGTTGTATAAATGCCCTTATGCATTTTGGATCTACTTTAACTCTACTTGTAATTATGACTATATTCTTCTATTATTTTTATATGGCAGGGTGATGTGAATGTTATTTTTTATGAATGTATTATAAAGCACAGACAGTCTTTGTCAGGTTGATCTGAGAATTGTTTGTTAAACAATGAATACAAAAAAGGCATACCAATTAGAAGCCAATATTTTAATGTTTAACCTCAATTTTATATGTTTAATCTATTATTTGTAGATTATAAATTTTAGGTTAGGATTTTTTGTACATTTATAAATTTTTACTTTTTTATTATCATATTCATTGGAAATATAATTCCTAAAAGTGTCAGTTTGCTCTGAAATGTAGACCTGAAATTTAGAAAAAAAGTCTTAGAAACCTCATAGAAAATGTATTTATTTATATAAAATATTTAAATGCTTTACATCAATCTATAGTGAAAGGTTTGACTTTTTAAGCGAAATTAGGAAGAGTCACTTTTTTTCGTCTAAACAATGAAATTAAGATTTATTCACTAAAATAGTAAGCTATTATGTCTCAGGAAATCAACTTGGGCGTTGCCATGGAGATTAAAACTTTTTGGCTATTTAAGTCTAATTAAAAAATATTAGGGAATTGCAAATTAAAGACCAGATTAGCCAAACTGAAAGCAATTGTTTTACATTTGTAATTCACTTTACATTCATTTTTAATTCTCTCTTTAGTAAATAATCTTGCAAATATTTCAAGTCATTACTTAAATCACTGTTTGAGTAAAGATCACTAGGACAATTCCTGATGAACACGTTCACGCATAATAAAAACAATGCACATAAAAGACACAAAGAAGTACTTAAGCAGTAATCTAATTCTCTGAATCAAAGCTCACCAGGTCCAGCTCTATTATATCTGTCGGTGTCTGTGTTTGTGAAGTACTTGACAACTGTGTAACTAGAAATGAAGCTGATTTAGATTAGTAGATGTATTAATGTTATAAAATACTCATATTAATGTATAAGAAACACTGTTTTCCAACTTAGAAAATAATCTATTCAGCTGTAAAAGATTGACTTTACAAGTTTATCAATATATCAGTTTAAAAATCTGTCATCATTATATGCACGTTTGTGTGTATATCGATAAGGGCTCTGTACTCGACATCTGCCACTTCTTATTGCCATGGATAAATAAAGGTAGCACTGCATGCAACTGAAAATAGTCCAGAGAGGGCACTTTTATTTTTTGGTTTTATGCATATATAATATATGTGTGTGTGTGTGTTTATATGGTTTGTATGTGAGTATGCAATTATGTCATCCTAAAAAGATAGATAGACAAATAAATCGTTAGATAGATAAATAGATAGATAGATTTGTGTCTGTGCGTTTTGTTAAGAGGCAAAATATTTCGATTGCCGTAAAAATCTGAACATTTCTAAAACTGTTAAATGTTGTGAATCACATGATAGATACATTAAAAAACTGTAAAAAAAAAAAAAAGTAATGTGCAAAAATGATTTTTGCAGTATTGAATATTTGACCTAAAGATAATTATACAGAATTTGAATAAGCAAGATTTTTATTTCACAACTTTTTTCAAGACATTTATAATTTATGTATATCATATAGGTTTTAAAATTCTCCTTAAAACTGTATTCAGTTCAATCATGTGTAAACTATTGAAAGAGAATGTGTAAAAAGTCCACTGGATACTATTTTGATGATGGACCATAATAAACAGGAAGTAATTTTTTCAGCAAAGTTCTGTGGGGAAAAAAGGATAATAGATAGGGATGAATTTTCTTAGCAGAGTAAGGGTTTATTCTTCTTACAGAAATATGCATTCTAGAAAGTTTGAAAACATATTTTAAAAAATATGCTGTTAGATATACAATCTCTCTATCTATTCATTCCTAGGACTCTGTCATACGTACAACATGTTTTTCTCAGATCCATGGCTAAGTGCATACCGATGTTCGTTGAGACCCAGGTTTGGCACCATCTACATATTGCTGCTATTGTTATTACATAGCCTCATATCTGTCGATAGCAGATCTTTTCACCATGAGATTGAAGTCAGAAGTAAGTATGTCTTTGAAAAAAAAAATCATTGGTGGTTTGCAAGTTGCATTTTTAGACTTTTTATGCAGCTATTTTGACAGTCTGCTAACTTAAATAAATATACCTAACATAAAACTGCTTACTTGGCTAATGAAGTCCAATAATAGCTACCAAGCTAATTTTAACTCTAAACTAAATCATACATAAATGTACTATGCTATGGTTTGAGAGTGCAGCTTCACAAGTTTATTTTTAGGTTGTTTAGTTCTTTATATTTTAATCCATACAATTATTGTATTCATATTTTAAGGACCTTTTAAAAATATGTGAGTAGTGACCTGCTCATAAACAGGTCTCTACAAAAGAACAAAAGACCACTATCTGCACATAACCTCAGCAATCAGTACTTAGTGTGCATTTTGAACATATAGCTTTATATTTTAGGGATAGTTTCTCACTGTAAATGTTAGAATGAAATAATTTTAAATTTAGAGTTGTTTTGTAGGCATCATGCCATTAGTTGTATTTTTATAACCTTAGTGTTAGTTGCACAATTTAAACAGTAACCAACTAACACTTGGTTTAAAAAAATGGTGATTACACACTATGCAATCCTTTTTCCACCATAAAAGGTAGCCTCGTATTTTGATCTCAGTTCCACTATGCTCAATGAAAAACAGACAAGGATTAAATGATTAGCTTAGTCAATTAAGATATACATTCATCAGCATAATAAAAGCTTTGCAATATTGAGGAAAAAAAAGTGATTTGAAAGAAACTGGAATATTAACTACAGACCCATAATACTTAACACTGCTTGATGAGTATGAATGTATTAAAGGGTTTCTCCAAATCTTTTTCACTGATGATAGATTAATGCCACACTGGCATTATTATTTTATTCCCCTCCCCCTACAAAAAAGCTCAAACATTGTTTTTTAACTAGTTTACTTGCCTTAATCCAAAGTAGGGCAAAGCTCCCCGGGGCTACTCGGTGACCCCTGTCAAATGTCACGGGAGCCACTCACTCTGAATCGGCAAACAAAGAGGGAGGTGAGGAGGGCGGGAATCTTAAAAGAATTTGTGAATGGTATTGGGAGGAGGAAGGGCTAACCTTTGTGTGGGAGGGAGGTGAGACAAGTGCCATGCAGTGCGTGCTAACAACAGACACGATTTAGGCACAGAATTGACATTAGGCAGCAGAACATGTGGGCTGCCTAAGACATGTGTGCTGGGAGTGGACTTTCCCTAGCACACAATTAAAATTTATTCTGGATGTGCAGTGCTTCAAACTGAATCATGGCACATCTAGACTCCTACCACCAGTTCAAAGAGCAGAAGTGGTCATTGTGGTTAGAGTAACCCTTTAAGATGCAACACAGTTATATGGCTGGGGCAGAGGGGTATGAATCATATACCTATAACTTATCATGCACTTCACACTTCAAAATACTTACTCATAGGTGTGGTAAGTATGGTTATAGTAAAATATGCTACACTTTTCTACTAATGTAAAGACAATTAAGGTGTTCTATGTCTTAAGGGGCAAACTAAGTATTATAAACACCACAACTTTTTGTAGTAGGTATCCAAGGAGTTTTGGGTGCCATTGCACCATTTATTGTTAAACCCTTTACTCAAGATTTATAGTACAATTGACCACATAATATACAAGAGTTACTTTTAGTGCTGGCAGGAAGGTCCTGTCCTTCCATGCTTGCTAGAAAAACACATATTTTCTATTTATTTTTATCACTTTGCTATTTCTTTAAATATGAAAGAACAAATAAAAATCGTGTAAATCTAGTAAAATATGTTGAAGTATGCTTTCAAAAATATACAGTTACTCTTTCATCCTTTACATGTTTCAGATAAATGATCAATTTAACTTTTTAAAAACTTTTTTAAACAAAATTAACATAATAGTGAATGAACTATGTAAAATGTACATTTTCAAATTTGTTACAGAATGAATGTACTAAATTATCAAAACGGAACTGTTTTGCATGAAATGTGACGTAAAAAAATATATATAAATGTCTAGTATTAGCATTAAAGACATCTATTTTTGTAATAATTTTTTACAAATGCAGGTCCTGACATTGACCCTTATTGGTATGTGGGCCGTGGAGTTAGGCCAATTGGCCGATTTGGAAAAAGGCATCTAAAGAACATGACCAACTTACAGCCACAACTAAGTACTATAATTGCAATGATTCTGAAGCATCTGAAGAAGCACGAAAGACTAGATTTAGAAAAAGTATTTGAAGCTAAAAACTGGTGATATTTGTCTGGTTTAAGCCTTTAAGCTCATTGTTGGAAAATTATTTGCTTATTTTTTTACATTATAGTTTTGCTTTTAAAAATTCTATGTATTGCTTATTCACTGTTAATTATATTATCAAAAAGTTTTCATATTCAGCAGGTCAGATGACATGATATTGGATCCAATGTGGGTACCATAAACACTCTGTTTTTTCATTTCATTTCATATTATAAATGTAAATGAGTTTTCCTTAGTAAAGGAAAGAGATATCTAATATATATTTATATGGTAAATGGGATTCTATCAGATTTATACAAAAGCTCTACATATTTGCTAAATATTAAGTTATGGTGAATTGAACATCACCATGCAGTGACCAAAGTAGCAGAGGTGCAAATAATCTGTGTAGAAAATACATTTCAAAATAAATTTAGAATATGCAATATACAAAGTGTTGCCATTGGTTTGCCTAGAATTGTTTGAATGCTTATAACAGATAATACATGTGTTACAGTCCAGACGCATCTTGACATTACAACTAAAGGAATTGGAAGATTGTGGAGAAGCAACAAGTTAATAGTTTTGTCCAAAATATTTACATGGGAGTATCTCTCTCTCTCTCTCTCTCTCTCTCTCTCTCTCTCCCTCTCCCTCTCCCTATCTATTTATCTCACAACAACAATTTTAATAAATTTTCATTTATGCTACATAAAGGGACAATGGCCATGAGGCATTCATAGAATTTGTAATATTTCCTTTAGAGTTAATGATCAAAAAGTTGATTGGCTAATTGCAAACTAAAGATAAACTTCACACATAAAAATATGACTTGTGGATGGTATAAAAGTTCAGCATAATATTAAGTAAATCTGATCTTTGGTGAAACGTTTATTTTATCCTCCTTTCCACATCTATAATGGCTTAATTACATTATTCTCTTGAATTGGCTGAAGTATCATATATCACATAATCTTAACCATTCTAGTAATAAATCTTTATATGAGCCTTCAAACCATGAATCATTTATTTGAAGAAGATATGGTTTAATTATCCTTAGCCTAACTGTGCCCCCCTTTCCCCCACCTAGCCTAACTGTCCCCCCTGCTTCCCCACCTAACCTACCTGTGCCCCCTGCTTCCCCACCTAGCCTAACTGTGCCCCAGCTACCTACTGTGCCCCTGCTCCCCAGCTACACACTGTGCTCCTGCTCCCCCACTTACCCACTGTGCCCCTTGCTTCCCCGGCTACCACCACTGTGCCCTCTCTCCCCAGCTACCTTCTGTGCCCCTGCTTCCCTCCTTCCCTCTGTTACCCACCTTGCCCCTGCTCTCCTACCTACTTCTATACTACCCCTGCTCCCCCACTGTGCCCCCTGCTCCCCCACCAACCACTACACTACCTCTGCTCTCCCACCTACCACCACTGTGCCCCTGCTCCTCAACCTACCAATGCACTACACTTGCTTCCCCAGCTACCACCACTGTGCCACCTGGTCCCCCACCTACCACCACTGTTCCCCCTGCTCCACCAACCACCACTGTGCCCCCTCTCCCCCAGCTACCCACTGTGCCCCCTGCTTCCCCAGCTACCACTACACTACCGCTGCTCCCCCAACCTCCTCCACTGATCCCCCTGCTCCCCACCTTCCACTACACTACCTATGCTCCCCCACCTACCACTACTGTGCCCCTGCTCCCCAACCTACCAATACACCACCACTGTGCCCCCTGCTCCCCCACCTACCACTACACTGCCCCTGCTCCACCAGCTATCACCACTATGCCCCCTGCTCCACCAACCACCACTGTGCCCCCTGGAGGATATGCAACATGAATCCCACAGTTGAAAGCACTCCATTAGTAGAAAATGAAATGAATGGAACATATCGGCTACGAAGAAAGGTTAACAAATGTAAACATATTTAGCTTAGAAAAACATCGCCTGATAGTGGATATGATAACATTATACAAATATATTCGGGGCCAATACAAACCATTGTGTGGAAATCTATTCACAAACCGGACTTTACATTCACGAGGCCATGCGTTTAGACTGGAAGAAGGAAGATTTCGTCTAAGGCAAAGGAAAGGCTTTTTTACTGTAAGAACAATCAGGATGTGGAATTCTCTGCCTGAAGAAGTGGTTTTATCAGAGTCCATACAGATGTTCAAACGTCTACTAGATGCATACTTGCAAGAACAGAATATTCAAGGATATAATCTTTCAATGTAGGGTAATAACCGCTTGATCCAAGGATAAATCTGACTGCCATTTTGGGGTCAAGAAGGAATTTTTTTCCTAGCTTGTTGCAAAATTGTGCTTCAAACTGGGTTTTTTTGCCTTCTTTTGGATCAACAGCAAAAAACAAATGTGAGGTAGGCTGAACTTGATGGACGCAAGTCTCTTTTCAGCTATGTAACTATGTAACTATCTTGCGTAAGAAAGGGGCGGATGCGGGCTATGTTTTTGAGTTGGAACCTACAGGACTTGGCAACAAACTGGATGTGAGACTCAAAGGTGAGACCAGAGTCAAGTATGACGCCAAGACAGCATGCTTGCAGGGATGGACTTATGTGGATATCACTGACTTGAAGGGAGGGCGAGAGAGGAGGATCAGTATTAGAAGGAGGAAAGACAAGGAGTTCAGTTTTAGAGAGGTTAAATTTCAGAAAGCGTGAGGACATCCAGTCAGAGATGGAAGAAAGGCAAGCAGTGACACGTTGCAGGATGGCAGGGGAGAGGTCCGGGGAGGAGAGGTATATCTGAGTGTCATCAGCGTACAGGTGGTAGTGGAATCTAAAAGAGGCAATAAGTTTACCAAGAGAGGCAGTATAAAGAGAAAATAGAAGGGGACCAAGGACAGACCCTTGGGGAACTCCAACCGAGACAGGACGAGGGGAGGAGGTATCCTTGGAAAAGGAGACACTGAATGAGCGATGGGAGAGATAGGAGGAAAACCAAGAGAGGACAGAGTCACAGAGACCGAGCGATTGAAGAGTTTGAAGGAGGAGAGCATGATCAACGGTGTCAAAGGCAGCAGAGAGGTCAAGGAGAATTAATATGGAGTAGTGACCTTTGGATTTAGCGGCGATTAGGTCATTAGTCACTTTGATAAGAGCAGACTCAGTAGAGTGGAGAGGGCAGAAGCCAGACTGAAGAGGGTCAAGGAGAGAGTTGGAATTAAGGAAGCGGGACACACGGGTAAAGACAAGTCTTTCCAAAAGCTTTAATAAGAAAGGGAGCAGGGATATGGGATGATAATTAGAAGGGGAGGATGGGTCAAGAGATGTTTTTTTCAGGATAGGTATAACAGTGGCATGTTTAAGGTCAACAGGAACAGTACCAGAAGAGAGAGAGCAGTTAAAGATGTGTGTTAGGGTAGGCACAAGACAAGGGGAGAGAGATCTGATGAGGTGAGATGGGACAGGATCGAGCGGGCAAGTGGTGGGGCGAGAGGAATGGAGAAGCGCAGCCACCTCTTGTTCAGTAGCCGGGTAGAAAGTCTGGAGGGTAGGGAAAGCAAGATTTACATGTGGTTGAGAAAGAGAACGGCAAGGAGGGGAGAATTGTTTCCTTAGCTGTTCAATCTTGTCGGTAAAGTAGCATGCAAAGCTATCAGCTATAAGGTTAGTTTGGGGGGTGGCCACAGCAGGGCGGAGAAGGGAATTAAAGGTGTCAAAGAGACGTCTGGGATTGCGGGAGCATGAACTAATGAGAGAGGAAAAGTATGACTGTTTGGCGAGGGCGAGGGCTGCGCTGTATGAAAGCAACATGAATTTATAATGGAGAAAGTCTGCCTGGGTGCGGGACTTCCTCCAGGAGCGTTCAGCACAATTGGAGCAACTCTGCAGACACCGTGTTGATTTATTATGCCAAGGTTGGGGTCGTGTCCTCCTCGAGGTGCATGTTTGGAGTGGGGATGCAGCGTTCAAGGCAGATGTGAGGGTAGTGTTATATATGGAGATGGCCAGTGAGGGACAGGAGAGGGAAGGGATGGATAACAGTTGTGAATCAATGTCAGCTGACAGCTGCTGGAGGTCAATAGAGTTAAGGTTCCTCCTGAGCTGAGGGGGGTTAGGCTGAGATTGTTGGGTTAGGGGGTAATTGAGAGCAAACAATAAGATGTGGTGATCAGAGAGAGGAAATGGAGTGTTGCAGATATTAGATACTGTACATGAATAAGAGAAAATAAGGTCGAGGGTATTGCCAGCTACATGAGTGGGAGAATTAGCCCACTGAAAAAGTCCAAGGGAGGAAGTAATTGAAAATAGTTTAGAGGCTGCTGGGGTTAAAGGTGGGTTAATGGGAATATTGAAGTCTCCAAGAATTAGGGATGGGATGTTGGAAGAGAGGAAGTAGGGTAGCCAGGCAGCAAAGTGGTCAAGGATGAGGAGAGGGGAACCAGGGGGACGATAGATTACGGCAATGTTAGCAGAGAAGGGTTTGAAAAGGCGAATAGAATGAATTTCAAATGACGGGAAAGAGAGGGAAGGGGGGGGTGGACAGGGTTTTAAAGGAGCAGTGGGGTGAGAGAAGAAAACCTACACCGCCACCTTTAATCTCTGCTTGTCTTGGATTGTGGGTAAAGTGAAGACCACCAAAGGACAGTGAGGCAGGTGTAGCAGTATCAGAGGGAGAGATCCATGTTTCTGTTAGTGCAAGTAGGTTTAGGGAGTGTGAGATAAATAGGTCATGGATGGAAGTAGATTTAAAGGTGCTGCACACAGAGTGTGCATTCCAGAGGGCAGCTTTAAAAGAGGAATTATAGTGAGAATTACATGGAATGAGTATTAGGTTGTCGTGGTTTCTGGTGTTTGTACCAGGTGGCTGAGTAGTGGAGGGACCAGGGTTTGGAGAGACATCACCTGCTGCTAGGAGTAGTAGGATGGAAAGGAAGAGAAGGTGGGAGTAAGATTTAAATGTTGGGGATGAGAGCTTGTATTTAGGGTATTTAGGAGGGGTGTGTGGAGAAAGGCTGGATAAATATGAGTAAAGTGCGTGTGATGAATACAGAGATG